CGAGCTGAAACGTGGTACATGGACTCGTGCCGAGAAAGCAAATTCTTTTAAATTCTCAGCCCCATCCCGAACTGCAAGAAAATCAGTTTTTCCTGTTTTTCAAGGGGAAGATGAAGGAAATATTATGCCGCTGATTTCACGAAATAAAATTCTCGATAACTTCGCTAATTGAGATTCTTTTTTTGTTTTTTTATTTTCCTGTGTTTTTCTGAAGTCGTTGGTGAAATGAATCTGTGGTTTAAAAGCGGGTGTGTCGATAGAATATTAAGCTCAGTGGCTTGGAAAAAAATTTGTTGTTGCGATCGGGGGATGGGGGGGTGGAGGCGCCTAATTGGGATTTTTATAATGTGCGTTACTTGTATGCATGTTTTGTCAAATTTTCCAACCCCCCCCCCCTCCAACAACATTTAAGGCTTGTATATGAATTATACAGCAAGCCTCCGCAATTTGTATTCTACAGCTAATGTCGGGAACGCATTAGGAGAAAGCACTGCCCAGATGCACTTTGTAAGATAAAATGGCTAATGGCATGAAAAAAATGCCAAAGGCGAGGTTTTTACAGGATTGGGGCAGAATATGTAAACCTAATTTCGGTGACCGCCTTTAAAATTAGGGATAAATTTAAGAAAAGGGAAGAAAAAAATGTATCGACCTTGAGACCTGACCTCTATAAACGGTGCGCCTGTTTCCCTGAAGTTGAACAGTGGAACAGTGGAACAGTTGAACAGTGGAACAGTTGAACAGTGGAACAGTTGAACAGTGGAACAGTGGAACAGTGGAACAGTGGAACAGTGGAACAGTTGAACAGTGGAACAGTTGAACAGTGGAACAGTGGAACAGTGGAACAGTGGAACAGTGGAACAGTGGAACAGTGGAACAGTGGAACAGTGAAACAGTGGAACAGTTGAACAGTTGAACAGTGGAACAGTGGAACAGTGGAACAGTGGAACAGTGGAACAGTGGAACAGTTGAACAGTGGAACAGTTGAACAGTTGAACAGTTGAACAGTTGAACAGTGGAAAAGTTGAACAAGGGTGAATAGATTATTTTTACAGTCTATGGGGTGGCTCTAAGCAAATGTTAAAGTCCTTAATTCATCTAGTTAAGTGTATGTCATAGTAACTACTTTAAAAAAAAATTAGGAGAATATTTTTATTTTGGGGTAGGGGGGGAGGGGGGAGTTGGAGGCAAAACCAGCACAAAATACGATAATTTCATTTAATTATATTTGTCTCTCTTTCTGTTATCTCTCTTTCTGTTATCTCTCTTTCTGTTATCTCTCTTTCTGTTATCTCTCTTTCTGTTATCTCTCTTTCTGTTATCTCTCTTTCTGTTATCTCTCTTTCTGTTATCTCTCTTTCTGTTATCTCTCTTTCTGTTATCTCTCTTTCTGTTATCTCTCTTTCTGTTATCTCTCTTTCTGTTATCTCTCTTTCTGTTATCTCTCTTTCTGTTATCTCTCTTTCTGTTATCTCTCTTTCTGTTATCTCTCTTTCTCACTCTCTTTATATTTCCCATAATTGTTCTTGTATTTCTCTGTCAATCTCCTCTCTATCCCTGTCTGGTTTATTTATAACGAGTGTGATAAGAAGAGACAGGTGTCATCTTTACAAATAGTAAGAGCACCGGTTCAGGAATCTGGTCCCTGAATTCCCCACCTTGGTGCGTATCTTGTATGTAGCTTTTAGAACATTATATTTACACAGCTGTGGTGTTACATGGTAGACTTCAAGATAACTGCACAGATTTAGATTTGAGCTGGGCACTGTTTTGTTCTATTCAAAGACAAACACATAATAATAGATGATCAAGGTCTCGAAATGCTTTGTCATCACGAAGTAAAAAAAAAATGTTACTAGGGATTTAAAAAAAAAATAATTGACATGTTCCACAATTACATTTTTAACTCTACATGGCAGTTATTCTGAAACGCAATCTCAGCAGCATTTGACTGTTCAGTTGGTTTAAAACATAACGAATTTTTTTTTTTTTTTGACGCCTTCCCGGTACAACTGTACTGTTTAAAACACCACACAGTTATTTCTTGACCCCCTTCCCGGTATACCTGTACTGTTTTAAAACACCACACAGTTATTTCTTGACCCCCTTCCCGGTACAACTGTACTGTTTTAAAACACCACACAGTTATTTCTTGACCCCCTTCCCGGTACAACTGTACTGTTTTAAAACACCACACAGTTATTTCTTGACCCCCTTCCCGGTACAACTGTACTGTTTTAAAACATCACACAGTTATTTCTTGACCCCCTTCCCGGTACAACTGTACTGTTTTAAAACACCACACAGTTATATCTTGACGCCTTCCCGGTACAACTGTACTTTTTAAAAACACCACACAGTTATTTCTTGACCCCCTTCCCGGTACAACTGTACTGTTTTAAAACACCACAAAGTTATTTCTAGACCCCCTTCCCGGTACAACTGTACTGTTTTAAAACACCACACAGTTATTTCTTGACCCCCTTCCCGGTACAACTGTACTGTTTTAAAACACCACAAAGTTATTTCTAGACCCCCTTCCCGGTACAACTGTACTGTTTTAAAACACCCCACAGTTATTTCTTGACGCCTTCCCGGTACAACTGTACTGTTTTAAAACACCACACAGCTATTTCTTGACCCCCTTCCCGGTACAACTGTACTGTTTTAAAACACCACACAATTATTTCTTGACGCCTTCCCGGTACAACTGTACTGTTTTAAAACACCACACAGTTATTTCTTGACGCATTCCCGGTACGACTGTACTGTTTAAAACACCAAACAGTTATTTCTTGACGCCTTCCCGGTACAACTGTACTGTTTTAAAACACCACACAGTTATTTCGTGACCCCTTTCCCGGTACAACTGTACTGTTTCAAAACACCACACAGTTATTTCTTGACGCCTTCCCGGTACAACTGTACTGTTTTAAAACACCACACAGTTATTTACTGACGCCTTCCCGGTACGACTGTACTGTTTAAAACACCACACAGTTATTTCTTGACCCCCTTCCCGGTACAACTGTACTGTTTAAAAACACCACACAGTTATTTCTTGACGCCTTCCCGGTACAACTATACTGTTTTAAAACACCCCACAGTTATTTCTTGACGCCTTCCCGGTACAACTGTACTGTTTCAAACATCACACAGTTATTAAAAAAAAGAAAGTTGTTTTATGGCGTTGTTGGATTAAGATAAACAATTATACGAAGTGTCTCTGAGAAGGAAGAGAGACTCTGTTTGAAGGAAGACCCGCGAGCCGTCTAATCCGGTCCTTGAACAGGGTCGTCATCAATGAAATCTGAGACTAAGATTTGACCAAATCTGCCCTGACCAGTCCCTAACTCCCAGTCTAGACACCGGTGAGTGGAGAGCTCATTATGGCTGATGTCAGAAAGAGACAGGAATCCACTGCTATATAGGTCCAGCGTCGGTAAGTGCACAATGGTCGGTGGGGGGGGGGATGTTCTTCTTGTCCACCTGTCATGGTTTAACGAGGAAACTGTATAATATTGCTGTTTATACGAGGACTCTATATTTACACCTATCTACAGGATACATTCAAACATTTTTATGGTTCAAATTCCGTTTTCCCATTTCAATGAGATTATTTTAATGGTGATAGAAATAATTCATGATAACAAATATACAATAGATCTTCAATGATTAAGAGCTGGCAAGGACAATTTGGTTATGAGTGTAATAGACAGACTAAAGCGAAACCTGTCTTACTACCAATACTTAGGACGGTGAATTAGTTTATTATCTAATAATGTCTTTTTAGAAGCTTTACACAGAGCAGACTTTTTTTGTTTTTTTTAAATGTATGAGTATTTAACACGAAATTCCCAGTCCATCACTTTAAAGGCTTTTTTTAAGATCAGTTCTTAAGTTGGGACTAAAGATGTACACACATCTCTCATTCGAGCAGAGAATAAAACCTAAACACTCTAAAACGTTTTGATGTTCACAAAAACTCAAAGACGACAAGTTGATCTGTTCACGAATAACTTCTTAGTATATAATTTTTTATATTTATATACTTTTGTACAGTTAAGGCGCTGCTACTTTGTGTACAAAGATCTCTCAATTGAAGAGAGAATGAAACTACAACCCTAAAACCGTTTTAATGTTCACAAAAACTCGAAGACGACAAGTTGATCTGTTCACGAATTACTTCTTAGTGTATACTTTTTATACTCATATACTTTTGTACAGTTAAAAAAGCGCTGCTACTGTGGCCAGTAACTGGGGGAGATCGATAGTAAGGGAGAGCAGACCGCCAATTGTTCGCACCCGCCCTTTCAGCTAGGTTGCCAGCCCCCCTAGTTCGCCCCGCGACATCGGCTGACTGGAATTCATTGCCAGTAATATTGGTTTGTGCCTCGGGTATAAGCGGCGCCCGTGGAAGCTGTATGATGATACAATTATTGTCAGTAAACTCGAGGAAAAGTTTCCCAAGATGGTATCGGACGTACGCGTCACTTCCCAGAGAGGGTGACAGCTCCGTTCATCGCCCATCGTCAGTGGATAGCCGTTTCTGTGCGCTCGCCTCTGGTCAGGCCATCATTCCGTGTCTAGTCTTCTGGACGGGGCATGGGCCCTTCATGACGTCCCGATTGTCGTCGCAACAATCAGTGGAGGATTAGCTGCAGCGGGTGGAGTGCCGGGTCTTTTTGTTGTTCCATTTCCCGGGACGAGATTATGTCGCGATGGAAACTAAATAATAAATCAGGTTACGGTGCTCGGGCGTGCTTAGGTGTGCGGTCTTGTTCCGGGCCATGCCATCGATGAAGATTGGCGGGCTGGTGATGAGCCCACGACTCTGGTTAAATGACCCTGAATGACAAGAAGACGTGGAAGACGGGCGGCCCCCACAGCCAGTCCCCGGCTCCAGGCGCCGGTATCTTAGTCCAGTCCGTGCAGGCATCCGAGACGGAGGTCATCTTGAGCGTTCTGCTGCCGCAAAAAGTCGTCGCGCCCGGATCATTCGGGGCGTTCCTCAGCATGAACGGCAACTACACGGATGGAAACTTGACCATCGCTGACCTGGAAGTGGAGGAAAATGACCCGGATTTAAACTCTTTATCCGCCGTGGGGCTCGTCCTCAGGGGCATGGCGATGGCCACGATCATGGTCGGTGCTATATTCGGGAACGTGTTGGTCATCAGCAGCGTCCTGAGGTTCGAGCGCCTCCGAGGGATCACAAACTTTTTCATCGTCTCTCTGGCATTCGCCGACCTCCTGGTGGCCATCCTGGTCATGCCGTTCAACGCCAGCATGGAAATCTCCGGCAAGTGGGTGTTCGGCAGAACGATGTGCGATATATTCAACGCCAACGACGTGCTGTTCAGCACGGCCTCCATTCTTCACCTGTGCTGCATCAGCATGGACCGCTACATCGCCATACTTCACCCGCTGCAGTACGAGACTAAAATGACGCGGCCGCGGGCCTTATTCATGCTGGGCGTAACGTGGATTTCTTCAATCCTCATCTCCTACATCCCCGTCTACTCACAGCTCTACACGACGGAAGAAAACATGCAGGCACTAGTCAGGGACCCGGACTCCTGTCCGTTCATCGTCAACAAAATATACGCCGGCGTCTCCTCCAGCGTCTCCTTCTGGATCCCTTGTATCATCATGGTCTTCGTGTACGCCAGGATATTCATGGAAGCGCGTAAGCAAGAAAAGATGATACAAACCTCCGCTCTCTACATGCACTACTCCGACCTCAGGAACTCCAACGGCATCGCCCTGGACGGAGACGCGCACCGCTCGGAGCGGAGGAGGATGAAACGCGAACACAAGGCGGCGAAGACGCTCGGGATTATAATGGGCGCTTTCATCGTGTGTTTCTTGCCCTTTTTTTCGTGGTACGTGGCCACGACGATGTGCCGGGAGATCTGCCCTTACCCGCCCATGCTGGGCTCTGCCTTATTCTGGGTGGGGTACTTCAACTCGTGCCTCAACCCCGTCATCTACGCCTATTTCAACAGGGAGTTCCGCACGGCGTTCAAAAAGCTCCTGCGGCTGGACAGGGTCCCGTGCGACGCCAGCTGTGATCCCTCAACCCGCGCCCTCAACACGTCCTACGCCAACCACAACGTACTTCAGCAGCCCCGCGATTCGTGCAACATGGCCGTCAGACTCTCGAATAGCTCCGTGCAGAGACCTTGACGACTCCCCGGAGCTGTTCTAACAGACAACGATAAAATATCCATCCCGTGTTTTAACAAAGTTCCTTGTTTGTGATAATGGGTCCAATTTTGATATATGTCCTGGACTACACTGCCTGTGAACTGTGAATACAATAATCTCATTTCATACAAAACCTGGACCATACTGCTGTGTCAAAGTGATATTTTTTTCAAGCCTCATTTAAAGGTACTTAATATATTTAACTTATTTCTGGACATCTCCTCAGCTGCTGCTTGCTTTCGATGAGTCTAGCAATGGCTTTATGCATAAATAGTATCGTCCATCCTTGTAGACCCACTGTATTAAGTCAATAAATGGTTTGTCGATTTCTTGGCTTAAAAGTAGTACAGGAATTCTTAGGCGTAACCATCTGCAAATCAAAACTATCTTCTGTAGCAGACCCCCGGTACCCCTTATTGGTCTTAATGTGGTGCCCCTGGTAGGTCTTAATGTGGTGCCCCTTATAGGTCTCAGTTTAGTGTCCCTTATTGGTCTCATTGGGTTGCCCCTTATAGTTCTCAATGTTGTGCCACTTATAGGGCTCAATGGGGTGCCCCTTATAGGTCTCAGTATCAGGAAATGTAATCATATACTTATTTTCACCAAATAAAATAATACAATCATTTTTGGGGGAAAATACTAAAATATGTTTCACAACGACCATTAAAAGAGTTCCTTGTGGGTCTGCCCATTTGAAAACTTTATTCTCATTTGTGGGTAATATATTTCTAGCACATTCAGCTGTTACTGAATCAAGGGAAAGAATGTTTGTCAAAACAAGCTTACAAATAAATAGTGTGTATTATATGTACGACCTAACAAATTATTGTTTATTAAATTTATGATCTTACAAATTAGTGTTCATTATATTTATGATCGTACAAAATGGTGAATATAATATGTATGATCTTTTGACAAGTATTTCGATACTTCTAAGGCCATTCAATTCAACACTTAAAATAATGCTCTAATCTTCTAAACACTTGTTAGTGCTTCTTCGGATGTTTTCTCCTTTATTTTAATGTATCGTAGTTATGAATGTTTCAAATTATACAAATATATCTCCTTGTTTTAAAATAATAGAGTGCACGAGCTCAGATTATCTTTGCCAAGTATTTTCCTATAAAATACTGGCTTTTAAAATGTTACCCGGAAAAATTTTTTAAACAATTAAAAATAAAGGGGAAAAAAACCCCATTTAATAGACAATAGAACAAAATTGACAAGTCACGGAAGGTTATTTGAAAATGCTACATTTGCAAAAATTAATTAATAATAATAATAATAATATTCTAATCAGCTTTTCACAAGTTCATACATTAATTTCACCCTAGATTATAGATCTTGTGTTTGTTTTAACATTATTTTTATGTTTTGTTTCTCAACTCAAATATTTTGTTCAAACAAAGCTGTGTTGTCAGGAAAATAAATAAATAATGAAACGAATTATTTGACTTGTAGCTACCGACTCATAGACATACAACAACACATATTATACACAATAAAACTATGCTCAAAACTCTTGTAGATGACATTGTTCGCGGGCATTTTCATACTCGTGTGTAAAACGTGACGCGTTATGTAAAGAATGCTACTGAACTTTGATAAAAGATTTGATAGCAACTTCAATTTTCTTTTGGGGGCTGTTCGACTTACACACCTAAATCCCGTCTCAACAGCTTTGGTTGAATAGAATATGTTTCCCATGCTACATTCATTTTTATAGACATAATAATATGTCGTTTTAAATTTTTATTTTAAAACCTTTTTAAAAAAAAAAATTGTATTTGTCATGAGCTACGTTTGATTATTTGATTATTTATCGGTGCTCCGCCATATCAGCCATGATTTATGTACTTTTCATTCAGCATAAAGAGTTGAGATTCAATCCAGCGATTGGTCTGGGACTGAGCCTAGTCTTCAGAATTCGGTAGATCCTCATTATGCAGTTGAACTATTGAGACAAACAAAAATAGACGAAATAGCAGTCAGATTTGCGCAGGAAATGAAACAACATTTGCCATACGATTGTAAACATCTAATGATACCTAGAATTTGTAAAGTCTGGTAGGCTGGGTCGCTTGGTGCGTCTCACCGGTGAAATGAATGTCGTTTGATAGATCCTCTTTGTTGAAACTTTTTTTAAAAGTTTACAAAAACATTGTGAATTTAAAATATTGTTAACTTTAAAAACTACACTCATGGAAATTTTTTTTTTAAATGGTTTTGTTCTTATCTTTTCCTCATGCTTTATAGAGTATATGTAATTATAATGTATCTTATTTTAAAAAAAAAACAACAACTGACCATGTTGGCTAGTTGAAGTGTTGTCAAAGATCTCACCAGACACAGATTAGTGTTGACAGGAAATCTGCCAAGCCCACCCCGACCTCATTATGCAAAACGTGATGTTTCATATCGGAAGTGTATGTGATGTCAAGATTGCCTGCCCATGTTGACGGAAGTGAATGCCATGTCAGATTGCCTGCCCATGTTGACGGAAGTGAATGCCATGTCAGATTGTCTGCCCATGTTGACGGAAGTGCATATCATGTCAGATTGTCTGCCCATGTTGACGGAAGCGAATGCCATGTCAGATTGTCTGCCCATGTTGACGGAAGTGCATGTCATGTCAGATTGTCTGCCCATGTTGACGGAAGTGCATGTCATGTCAGATTGCCTGCCCATGTTGACGGAAGTGCATTTCATGTCAGATTGTCTGCCCATGTTGACGGACGTGCATGTCATGTCAGATTGTCTGCCCATGTTGATGGATGTGCATGCCATGTCAGATTGTCTGCCCATGTTGACGGAAGTGCATGCCATGTCAGATTGTCTGCCCATGTTGACGGAAGTGCATGCCATGTCAGATTGTCTGCCCATGTTGACGGAAGTGCATGTCATGTCAGATTGTCTGCCCATGTTGACGGAAGTGCATGTCATGTCAGATTGTCTGCCCATGTTGACGGAAGTGCATGTCATGTCAGATTGTCTGCCCATGTTGACGGAAGTGCATGCCATGTCAGATTGTCTGCCCATGTTGACGGAAGTGCATGTCATGTCAGATTGTCTGCCCATGTTGACGGAAGTGCATGTCATGTCAGATATGTCAGATTGTCTGCCGATGTTGATGGAAGTGCATGGCATGTCAGATTGTCTGCCCATGTTGACAGAAGTGCATGTCATGTCAGATTGACTGCCCATGTTGAAGGAAGTGCATGTTATGTCAGATTGCCTGCCCATGTTGACGGAAGTGCATGTCATGTCAGATTGTCTGCCCATGTTGACGAAAGTGTTTGTCGTGTCAGATTGTCTGCCCATGTTGACGGAAGTGAATGTCATGTCAGATTGCCTGCCCATGTTGACTAAACATAAAATGCTGAACACGCTTTTCACGTAAAATAATAAACTTGATGAACTCTAACTCGTTATTCAAAATGACACATTCTTGTAGTTGTTTACTATTGACAATTATTTTTTGTTGTCGCTTTTTGTTTCATCTCTATTGAATTTTTAAGAAACGCCTACTAAATCTGTACCGTGGTGGTGGGTAAAGAAACTACCGTCGGGGAGGGAGGGGGGATATGAGTAAAAGATCAACAACCGATGAACAATTTAGAAGACTTTGTATGCAAGAACCGTAGAGAATAACTGTGAACTGCTGTCCACATACATGTCAATAAATCTCAGCAAGTCCGTAATATGAAACCTCTAGGGCAGTGATTCTCAATCTGTGGTTGGCGACCCCTTTGAGGGCCGAACGACCATCGGAAAACACATATTTATGAAATAGCAACGGAAATAATTCTATGGTTGGGGGGGGGGTCACCACAACATGAGAAACTGTATTAATGGGTCACGGCATTAGGAAGGTTCAGAACCACTTATCTAGTGAAACCACCTGAATACAAAAAAATAAATAAAATAATAATTGTAATAATCCTTCATAGAAATAGTTTGAAAAAATAAATGTTATCAAATGTTACATGCCACATACAGGTATTCAAGAGTCTCATGTGGTAACTACGTAATTTCCATCTAGGAGTAAAATTACCCAAAGCCGAATTCGCTCAACATATTGATTAATGATTTTTTTTGGAATGACGTGGTCCAACATTGGCTGCAATCAAGACATCAGATCCATCAATATGTGACCCCACGTTAAAATTTCGCCAATGGATTACATTAAGCACACAATAAAACTAAAAGCTGCAATGATTATTTATCTGTCACAGCTGAACTGTAAACGGTCATTCATTGATAGCGTGAGAACGATTCACCAGTCACACAAAAATCATTAATAAGGAATGACGTCAGCGGCCCGAGACGATATTTTTATGCCTCCCCCCCCCCCCCTCTGGACCCCTATTTAAGAACCCTCCCTTCCTAAAGAGAGAAAGTGCTGCCCATTGGCACCCCCCAAGATATATGTATGACCCTAGTCACGCACCGGCTAGCACAGGAACACCAAAGGGGTTGTCTTCCTTTCATTAAACCTTGCGGTCAAAGCCTACTATCCGTGCCATGACGTCATTTCTTGTTTTTTGTTAAGTTTCTGTTTTGGTTTCGCAACCCTTTTTTTTAAAAATTTTCCTTAGTATGACGATGCAATGTTTTTGCATTAAAATTTAATTGGTTGTGTCATAATATTTTAATTTTTCCGCCATATTTGAAAACGGTATTTTATTTGATTTTCGGACAACTTTTGGATATTCTTTGAAGTGGAAATAAAAACGAAGTGTATTCAATGAAACTGTAAGTTGGTTTTTCTAGGTGTGTACACCTGCAGGTTTCCTATGTCAGGGGGACCTATTCCACCTCACCTGCAGGCTGCCATAATGCACAGACTGCTCCAGGGCATTTACAGAAAATGCAATCGATCCCAAGTTATTATTTGAAAAAAAAATAGATATATTTATTTCGCATATTTAATACTCACTGTGCCTTAATCATCATGGGTTGTGAACTAATAGATCTTG